TGAATCTAGAAAATTAATATGAGGATGCTCTAAATTTCTATTGAAATATATTAAAGTAATTTAAGTGATAAAAATACATTTTAAACCCTTTGTGGTTCCAAATGGCACAATTTATTCATTTTTCCAAATCTGCTCTATTCATTTAATAGAATCTGTGCCATAATTTGAAAAATTTGTAACTTAAGTTGCACATGTCCAAATAATCTAGTTTAGGACTTTTTAGAAATCTCTCTGTGTCTAGTTTTATCATAAAAATTATCATGAGCATTGGATATGGGTTTCTATATGTTAAATAATAAAACAGTAACCTTCCTTTGAAAAAGAGCCTAAGTTAGACAATCCCAATCTACATGTCAGAATAATGATTTCAAGGCTGGTTTAGGACTCTAAATTGACCATCATACATTGACAAATATCACTTATACATATTAAAGTCTCATTGTAAATTTACAAAGCCTATGGGCTTATTTATACATTTTTCATTTCTATTAAAGTAATGCCATAGGAAAAATTATTTTTCCTAATTTACTTACCTTTACTTCTTGCTCTAGCTCTTTTTTTAGAGGCCTATAACCTAACATGGTTAGTCAATGGGGGTGAGATTCGAAAGAACCTCAATAGTAAACAATACCATTCAAGCATACAAGGCAAAAGTTTCATACATAACATATACTTGCATTATATGACTTCAAAACTAACATATTAACATATTATACATGCTCATACATCATACATTGGACCATGGAACACTTCAAAATAGAGTTTCAAACATTCATTCATGGTTCATAGAATCAAAGAAACTAATCATACATATCATCATACAAGCATAAATACCAAGCATGTAACGAAAAGTAAATTTACTACCTTTTGACTTTACTATTTCTTTTTTATTTTCCTTGCTTTCATTTGATCCCCCATGACCAAACCTTCAATTCCTTTTTCATAACACTTATTGATCCTAAATATTTGCCTTAGAATATTTATGACAATTGTTAGAGCCAATGATTACATTGTCAATAAATAACAACTTGCTCTCTTTTTTTCTTACTTTCATTATCTTAATTTTTCACTTTATTTTTCTTTTGACATAAAATTCTGGTATCAACATTTTCCCACTCAATTTTTTCATAAGGAACTCCTTTTTAAACTCAAATTTGATCAATTCTAACTACTTTCCTTTGAACCATCCTTGAAAATAACTATGGATCTTTGAGACCCTAAATTATTTTTCTTTCAATTTATTTTTATGCTTCATATGTATGCGCCTCAAGGTTAGGTTCTAAATCATATTTCATGAACTTAAATGCTAAACTAATCATTGCTTAATTATTTGAAAAATTGGGCAGAATGTATCCTTGAAAATTAGCCATCCAAAAATTATATCAAACTTGAAATCAAGCTACCATTCATTAATAATCAATAAATAACATCTCTATGACCATTTTTAAGCCCTTTCCTGTTATTTAATCATCAAAATATCAACCCTTATTACCTTCGGAAAAACAAGGCAGCATCTCATAATCATGAAAACTCAAACAAAAATTATGAAAAATAATTCAAAAAGAAGCTCTTCCATACCTCTTCTCAATGCACTAACTTATTCTTGCTTCTTCACTGCTTCCTCCATCTATTCCTTCTCCAAATTCATCCTCTTGAAAAACTAAAATCATAGAAATGTTCCTCTTGATGAGAGGAACAACTTTTGTGAAGAGACTTTGAGGTAAAAATGTAGTTTTAATGGTGATTTTCGTTGATTTTTTTTTCTTTCTCTAAACCTCTCATGCGAATCCATGGAAGAAGCTTGCAATTTCTCTCTCTTCTCTCTCCTTAGTCTGACCGAAATGATGCAATGAGGAAGAAGAAATGGGTGTGGTGGCCACTTTCGATAATATTTGAATTCTAAAATATCTAATTTATCACTTTTATTCTAACCGATATTTTGATCAATTTTGGACCATATAAATGCTTGCCTTTCTTCTTCCATTTCAGATCCAACTTGACCTCACAACTCCCTCCAACTGGGCTCAACATGGGCCCTTGCTAAAATTAACTTTCAGACATAGCAAAAATTAGTATTATCTTAACCTAATACAATTTAAATTATAAATTAATTCTTTTGAGCAATTTCTTACCAATAAAATTGGAATAATTCATCCAAATATTTATTCCTTTTTATAAACTGATTTCCTTTAATTATTTATGAATTTTGGGTAATTTTTTGTAATTACACTTAGGGATCCAAAACTCTTAGAAATTACACTTTAACCCCAATTGAGAGTGATATTTCAGGGCTAACATTCACCCTTATTTATTTCTAAATCTAGGTACTTATTCCTGATTTCATTATATTTAATTATATATAATTAACTTTGAACATTAATAGTTACTATTTGACTTTGGATTGGCTATTACTCTTACTCATTTTTCTTTTCTTTCCTTTCTTAGCCTAATTAGTAGTTGAGCTATCGAAAAAAAAAAATCAAAGATGCTCTCTCTATAATAGTTAGCCAAATTTAAGAGTTTTTGTATTTTAAACTCATCCTTAACCATTATTTTTCTAGAGAACTGTCGCATACGCTGTGGCTTAGTAACTTTTTACTATGTCTATTATGATCATGAGATATAACTATGACCTCATTGAGCCCTTTTTGGATCTATTATGATTTTTAGAATCTAACTGTGATTCTTTTTTAAAAGATCTAGGACATAAAGATAAAGTTATTAAATAACACCACCTTTATTTAATTTGGTAATTTTATTGATTATTCTTCAAGATGAATCTCAAATATTTCTGTTGCCCTCTTGGACCTTATTTATTTCTTTTTAGCCTATCTTGAATATTTCTGGACTTCAACTTGCTCATTTCTTAGTTTTAGACTCTTTCTTAAAGTCTGTTAAAATAGTACGCCTCTGTTTAAGAAATACTTTAAATTTACCATTTGGTTTCTAAGAATCATTCTTTTTTTTCAAGTTATTTTAAGGACTTTTAATTACTTGGCCTTAGTAGCTTACAGAATTTTAGTATATTTTTAAGCTTCTAAGCCAAAAATTAGGATTTTACAGGAAAATAATAATATTCAACATAAAAAAAGTCCTCAATTCCCAAAATGAAAAATCCATCCATAAAATCTTATACAAACATTAATAATTATAAGTTTCTAACAACAATTATAAAATACAATAACATTAAAATAGTAATTAAGGGATTTAGATTTAATTTAAAGTTCAAGGTTTAGAAAAGGAAAGAGCAAAAAGGGGGAAACAAAAGTAACTCGAATTAATCCATGAACCCAACGACATTAATCGGTTCACAAGCTCCTCAGTTCAACTCATAAAAGTGCATTATCTTCTTGCTACCGTCTTTTCCGCTGCTTCCATTTATCTTCCTACTTGAACGTTTGCAGTTTCTCCTCCTTCGTTTAGAGACACTCAAAAATTAAATACAAATAGGATGCAAGAAATTAAACACACTCAAAAATTCAAGATCCCAATCACATACTCTCACTTTCTAATTTAACGTGTAGAGAGGATGATGGTATGTGTCAGGCCACAAATAGACAAGTTAAATAGACAAGTATTGCAAATCCATATAGTATAATTTTTTCAAAAAGAAAAAAAAAACCAGGCATGCATTAATCTTTACCAAATATTTATTATTTATCATAACCCTTGAACTTAATCACCATAACCATTATTAGACTTACATACCACTTATTAAATCTCCACAACCTCAAATCATAAAAAAAATTCATTCACTTAGTTTAAGGTTTTGGATTAAAACTCTCCATTATCATAATCATCACCAAACCAATCTAAGTAACACTTACTTAACTTCAAAATCACCTTAAAATTCGGATTTAATGGTTGGGTATTCTCAAAAATGAAAACTCTAACTATAAAATCTACAAAAACTAGTTTAAAGAAGAGGTTAGAGAGTAAGAATAAGATTAAATAAGCTTACCCTACTAATTTGAGCTTAAAAAGGTACTTGAATCAATGTTTCCACCAAACTCACGAGCAATTAGTTGAAAAAAGCAACACGGACACATCTAAAAATGGAGAAGACGAATAAAGAAGGGAGAGATTTTTAAAGAAATGAAAGATAGGATTTCGAAAAAAGAATAATATGATTTGGGGGTAAGGAAAACAGCAAAATTGAGAAGAAAATCACATCAATAAGTGAGAAATCATAAAAAATAATGTATGTGTTAGAGGAAGAAGATGATGTAAAAATTTAAAAAACTTTTTACATTAATTCTATGTTAAAAGTCTATCAAACAAGTTGACAACTATAAAATAATCATCGCCTTAACTTTTCATGTCGTTTATCTGTTAGTTAATATAAAAGGGCCTGTTGCAAAAAGTGAATATGTGCTAGTGCCAGCTAGTTACTGTTGACAAGGGCTTGATGTACAACTATTTAAAATATAAGATGAACTTGAAAATATAATCCCATGCCCTTCTCAATGCTTCCGTCCGCCGCTGTGTCTAATTGCTTCAAGAAGTGGTATGTGGTAGAAGGCGTAGAAGCAATCTAAGCACGGAGCCAAATGGGAGCCGGTTACTGTTCACAAGGGAAAGAAAACAGGTGAGTTACTTTAGTTACGGGATTTTTTCTTCTTTTTTGGAGAAATGAGTTTTAGAAGATATATTAATTTTAATATTTTATTTAGCAAAAATAAAAGTTTATAAAAAAATAAAAACATTTATTTTCGAGAAAATTTATAATTTCCAGATTTAATTCCACGCTAACACAGTTTATATTTTTAAATTTTTAAGGCCTGAAATAAACTTTTTTTTTTTTATAAACTGAAATAAACAATTGAAGAGTAGGAAAAAAAAAAGGAAACAAAAAAGGGGCGTTAATACGGAGAAAAAGTTGGGCCTTGATTTCGAAAAAGCCCACAAAAACTTAAAGGCCGGCCCATAGGTTAATGAGCTGAAAGCCCTAGAGAAACAAAATGCTATTTAATTGAAGCACTTCGCCTTACAGGGTTTTGTGTGCGCATTGCATTACGGCCGCTCGCAGCTAAGTTCTGCATATTTCAAGCTTTAGTTATGGCCGTGGGAAAGAACAAGAGAATTTCCAAGGGAAAGAAGGGAGGAAAGAAGAAGGCGTAAGTGTTCATCAATTTATTTTCAACATCTCAATCACGTTGTTCTCTCGGCGTGTATTTATTCTAATTTGTGTTGTCGCTTTTTTCTTTTGTTAACTTGGCTTTCAGAGCTGATCCATTTGCCAAGAAGGACTGGTATGATATCAAGGCTCCTTCTGTGTTTCAAGTTAAGAATGTGGGCAAGACCCTCGTCACTCGTACACAGGGTACCAAGGTAATTCGTAGTTATTTTCTCCGATTTCCGTTGCTACGGAAGTAGGGTACTTGGTTTATTTTTAAACTCCGGAGTAAAGACTCGTGATTTTCGTAATAAAAATCTTGTCTTTGTCTTGTGGCTCGCTGGTTTTCCATTTCTATCAGTATTAAATTTACATTTTGATTTGTAGTCAGTAATAAGATTTATTGTCCCTCGCCCTATTTTAGTATTCTAGAAAGAGAAATGACGTTTCTTCTTGGATCTGAGAACGTTGAGGAATAGCCTTGTACTTAGGGTGCAAAAAGATTTGGGATAAATATGTGGTTCACTTGTATCTTTCTCTGGGTGGACATATCTCTTGCGTAACTTTGATTTGTATGGATTTGTCAGATTCGGCCATTTCGTAATTTTTTGCTAAAGCTTAAGGAATTTTTTAAAAACCGCTTAGCGATGCTAGTGAATGTCCTGCGACTGTACAATGTAGTATCGATTTTATTTGTCTATCATTTGTTATTCATGGGTTTATACTATAAAATAATGACTTATCTATCTATTATTTGTTCACGGTTCTGTCAACCTATTGGTTTTTTTATTCCAAATTCTGCGTGTAACTTAGAATGTAATCATCAAGATATCTTCTTAAGAGTACATGCTATTTTTCAACGTTCTGGCTTTATGCATATTGACGAGGTTATTAAAAATGATAGATTGCCTCAGAAGGACTGAAGCACAGAGTGTTTGAGGTCTCGTTGGCTGATCTTCAAGGTGATGAGGACCATGCATTCAGGAAGATTAGGTTGAGAGCTGAGGATGTTCAAGGGAAGAATGTTCTCACAAATTTCTGGGTGGGTGATGGGTGGAATTTATTTTCCTCGTACCCTGACTTTCTGAGTGCTTTTAATATATCTGAAACTTCCCTCTTGCAATCTCTAGGGGATGGACTTCACAACTGATAAGTTGAGGTCTTTGGTTCGCAAATGGCAAACTTTGATCGAAGCTCATGTGGACGTAAAGACCACTGACTACACGTTGAGGATGTTTTGCATTGGGTTCACTAAGAGGCGAGCAAACCAGGTGAAGAGGACCTGTTATGCCCAGTCGAGCCAGATCAGACAGGTATGCCCCAATTAGATACCTTGTTGCCTGCTTACTGCTTGTTTTGGCATATCGTCATACCACTGATGAGTTCAGCATTGTCCACTTGATAACCTTTTGGTCATTTTTTCAGAGTTTATCTTTGTGGAGAAATATATGTTGCTCACTTCTCTGTGAGGTTGCCAATTTAAAAATGCTTCTGTATCTTTTCAGATCCGCAGGAAGATGAGGGAGATCATGACTAACCATGCTACCTCCTGTGACTTGAAAGAATTGGTGCGCAAATTCCTCCCTGAGGTGATTGGAAAGGATATTGAGAAGGCAACTTCTAGCATCTATCCTTTGCAAAATGTGTTCATTCGCAAAGTCAAGATCTTGAAGGCTCCTAAGTTTGATCTTGGAAAACTAATGGAGGTACTTCCCTTTTTCTTAAATCCATTGTTTAATCAGATTTCATATCTACATAGATAACATAATGCACATCTTGTAAGTGATGACTTTTAATTCACTGTTTGTTTTGTTCTATCATCGTTCATGCTCGTTGGTGTGATGCCTCTTGATTCTCTGTTGTAGGTTCATGGTGACTATTCGAGGATATTGGTGTGAAGGTGGACAGACCTGCGGATGAGACGATGGCTGAAGCTCCCCACCGAAATCGTTGGAGCTTAAATCTGGAATTTCATGAGTTGGTTTTTTTTGGGGGGGGGGGGTGTAAATTGCAACTATGAAATGGAGGGCTGCAATAATATTGTTTTGACTTTTTATGCGAGTTAAACATTAGGGTTTGATAATTGGATATGATTGCACCAGCGCTAGATAGGTACATAAGTAACTGATTATTTTTCTTAAAGTAATGAGTAATTTTTTGGTTTTTAAGATTGGATTGTTTGGAATGCAAACTAGAAGGCAAGCAACTTTAGAACCGAGAAAATTTCTAGGAATAGAGTTTTTCACCCAAACCTGTTGAGTGAATCTCATAGTCTAGGTGTAGCTGTTATTCTTTTGGTTTTGGCGGAAAATCTAATTTTGTTAAACCAAGTAAAAATATTACAAGCACGAGCCTGGAAAGTCCAGCAAGAACAACAACAAACAAAAACAAGTTAAAATTCAAAAGTGAGCCAGACCAGAAAAACAGTAAGCTATAACATAAAAACAAGAACGATAATATAGAACGAAACCATCAAGCAAGTGGACACATGAAGAACCATCTCTACTTGAAGAGATAACCGAACATTGATCGGTGAGAGTCATTGTCTCAGGAAATGGCATTGGTTTAAACATGCCTATTAGCCTCCTGAAAAAGTACCAAGCATTTTGATAGTTCCTATAGGAATTGACAAGCACTTGTCTTGACTTCTAATTTGAAGGACTCAAATTCAACCTTCAAATTGAAGGATTCTAAGGCTAGAGAAAAAGCTAACCCTGTGCTTAAGGTCAAAAAAATGATGAATTGATTAATATAATTTTAAATTTTATTTAAATTTGTGAAACTCTTTCAATTAATATCATTCTTTGTGAGATAACATATTATGAAAATTTTGGATTATCATCACCTATCGTTCAATTGTCCCTATCATTTGACATTCAAAATTTTAGTTTTTTGAACTTGTGTCTTCCCATTGTATTCTTCATTACTTATCATAATCATCTTTATCATTTATTCACATTTCTTCCATATATTATTCACGCTTTTTTCTATCTATTTATATCTTTTCCATCCATTCCCTTTTTATAAAAAATAATTTATTCATTGGATCTCTTGCCATGCGGATTCAGATTAAAACAAAAGGCAACATGCTTTAAAGAAAAAAGCCAGCAACAGTATTGAAAAAAATCATGCAATAAAATTGGGAAAAAGGATGAAAAAAAAGGTTGATTTGAAAAAAAAAAACGTTAAAAAAAAAAGAGCTTAGATTCAATGTGACAGAGGATAGAGTTGGTATATTTTTTTGACTTAGTATTTTATCTCATCTCATCTTATTTAACTACCATATTATATTTTATTTTATCTATGATATTTTATCTTATTTCATCTTTCCTTACCTTTACCTTTCTTATTTTTATATCTCATCTCATCTTGTTTATCTTATGATATTTAATTTGATCTTATTTTATCTTATCTCATGTTGTCTTATCTATGTTATTTTATCTCATCTGTTGTACTTGTTTTATTTTACTGTAATTGTTATCTCACATCACTATTTGTCAGTTAAAATTTTGCCAAATTGAATTTGAGTGAAAAAGCTAAAACCTATGCCTAGGACCACCAAGGATGATGAATTGATTAATACAGTTTTAAATTTCATTCAAACTTGAGAAACTATTTCAATTAATGTGAAATAACATATCATAAAATTTTGGATTATTGTAAAATATTGTTCGAATGCTCCTGTCATTTTCTCTGTTGGCATGGATGGGGTTCTATAACATATGAAAACAACAAAAAGTAAAAGATGCGGCGCTGCATTATGGATCTCTCAGCGGCTGCACGAAAACTCAAATATCAATAATCTGATATTAAGTGTTTCTTTTCTAGAAAAATCTCCCTGAAACCCATAAGCTTCATCGTAATATTCAGAGAACTAACGCTTGAAGCCTCGAGAGGTGGATTCAATGAAATCCACAGTCACGTTATACGGAGACTCTCAAGAATCACCGACTAATAAATAAAAATGGGAATGCTATTGAATTTTGAAGAAGTGTGCGGCAATAAAAGAAAATAAAATTCTAAAATGATGTGGAAGAAGAAACCGACTTGAATGGCGGTGGAGAATTGAGGAATGAAGAAGGTTCTAGATGAAATCCGTCACCGCCATTCATAAACATGTGTGTGTTAGTCTCGATGTGCGTGTGATAGAGTGAAAGAAAAGAGATGAAGAAGCAAGGTGACACCAGAGACCAAGTGAGTGAAGGTGTGAGTGTAGTGGGATGCAGATCCTTTCATAATTGTTTTATCTTGGCATCCGTCAGCATTACAATCTGATCCCTTCAATAAATATTTAATATTCACACTTTACCATGTCATCTCATGTATAATTTTATTTTAAAATAATTCTTTCATGAAATTGATTTTTATTTTATTTTTTTATTTTCAAAACTTATTCTAAAAAATTACTCACAGATTTTTACAAAATATTTATAGTCCAGCTTCTTCAAATTCTAGCTTAACTTATTTAATAAAAATTTAGTTGAAAAAAATTTACAAAGTAAATTAGACCATAAGCAGGTACTTATAGTATGACTTAGTCAAACTTTGACATAATCTATTTTAAAAAATTTACAGAGTAAGTCAGACTGTAATCAAATACTTATGATCTGACTTATTCAAACTTTGATTTGATCTATTTAATAAAAATTTATTTAAAAAATCTAAAGCAAAATTTTTTAGAACAAGTTAAAAGAATTATTTTTTAAATAAAATTATTTTTACATGAGATGATATGGCAAAATATGAGGTATTGGATATTTATTCAAGGGATTAGATTGCGGTGCTAATTCTAAGAGGATCTGCATCCAAGTATAGTGTCAAAGGTGTCGGAAAAAGCAACCAAGGGGGAAGAGTGAGAAAAAATAAGGGAGAATTTTCAGGATGTGATTTAATTACTAGTAGACCTCAAAAAATTAAAAGTAAAAAATAATTTTAACTGTGAAAAGATCAAAGTACCTTTACTTATTATGCAAAATCGCTAGTTGTTAATTTTTTAATTTACTTATTAATTAACCAATTCACTTATAAATTATTCGTTTGTCAAATAAGCAGTAACATTGGTCATTAATTTGTCAACTTACTTATCAGTACTAACATTAGTTGCAAATTACAAGACATGTCAGTAATTTATAAATTATATTAGTAAATTAATGAGTAAAGTTAAAAATTTAACAATTGATCTTGATGCTTATGATTGAACAACTGATGTCAAGTCTTGTATAATTATTGACATGTCAACTCATACAATTTGCAATTCATATTAATAAATTAATAAGTGAAGTAAGAAAATTAATAATTAGTAATTCTACATAACAAATGAAAGGTACTTTGATTTTTTTACAGTTGAAATTATTTTTACTTTTATCCCCTGATTGAACTAAAGTTTCAAAATTTTTTGACACTCGCTAGTAATTAAGTCTCCTTATTTGAAATTCTCCCAAAAATGAAAGTAAAAATATGAGCATTTGTGTATATTGTAGTTTGAGTACAATAAAAAAATATATTTCAGTTTAGTCCCTCAATTTTTCTGCCCTCAATTCCAACAGAGACTGGACGAGAGCGGCTGTAAAAGAACTTGTACCAGGACTGTCCACAATTGGTCATACCTTCAAATAACTGTCCTGCCATGGATTGTAAATAACCAGTGGGTCTTGAAGATTATGAGGAAACAAACTTCTGTGAACTCTTGCACTATCACCATCGAAATTGCATGAATGATGTTCATAGAACTTGTTTATTCTCAATAAACACACAAGATGCCTATGGCTTGCTTTTCAGATGTCTTAAGGGCAAATGGTCACTCCCTGATGTAGATTTTGACATGTAATTGTTTGGGTTTCTTTCATAGCCTTTTATTAAAAGGGAAAAAAAAAAAAGCTAGTGATTTTGGAGAAGTGTCGAATATGATCAATGAAAACAATGCTACAAACCATCCATTGCACTGTTGGATGAGAAAATTAAAAGACTTAAATATGCTAGTGACATGTAACTTTGCTTGTGAGTAGGAGATCGAGGGTTCGATTTAAATTTAAAAAAAAAAAACTGTTTATCTATTCACCCCTAAACCACACTTTGAGAAAGGTGGATCCTTGCAGAACACATCTTAACTAGTGAATGTATTCTTCTTTAACACAAATAATAAAAAATATATTAGTTCAATCTTTGTTGATAAAGAATTTGAGTTCAGGATGAAAATTATTCTCAATGACATTGAACGTGAGAAAAAGGAAAGAAAATTGCATTATCACAGTGTTATGATAATTCATGATCTATATTTAATCCAGATCTATAGGTCCGGTCCAACAATGAAGCTCATTTTACTCATTATTTATTAAACCAACTAATCAAAACCTAACCAGCGTTGTTCCTAATGAAAGAGGCTGTTACTACTTAGAGATCTCGTATTTGAATCTATGTAAATCTATTTAATTGGCGTTGCCCTCAATTGCACTTAACAATACCCAATCAGATATTCATATAAAAGAAAATTAAAAGACTCTTTAAGTTGAATTATAAGTACCATCAATGATACATAATTTCTCAAGTTGTATTAAGAAAAAATAAGATAAATAGCAATATCAATGATAATCAATATCCACATAAAGCATAAAATATATAAAATTGTATCATTCACAAGTTTTTCATTCATGAGACTGAATTAAATAAGAGGCCTCCCTAATTGAAAAATAAAGATGGTCTTATGTGAGATATTGATATCTTGAGTTGTTCTAGTGTCTTGAAGGATACCTTTGCAATAATTAGATTTAGGACTGATGCATCACACAGAATCAGACAAGCTGCAATAATAATGCCTTAAGTGAACCATAAGCATTGCTACTCGTTCCTTAGCCTCCTCAATGCACAAAAAACCTCTCTAATTAAAAATCATAGTGCATCTTAAAATGTTTTTATATCTTGAAGAATGCAACTTAGATAATGAAATCACATATAAAAGTTTGAGGATTTGTATTTGATCCAAATCTAAATCCA